GCCAAAGTATTGGAGCCTCAGCTTCACGATCTGTCCTTCCAGTGAACACTCAGGGCTAATTTCCTTAAGAATGGATGTGTTTGATCTTCTTGCAGTCCATGGGACTCTCAAGAGTCTCCTCCAGCACCATAATTCAAAAGCATCAATTCTTCGGCGATCAGCTTTCTTTATGGTCCATCTCTCACTTCCATACATCACTACTGGGAAAACCATGGCTTTAACTATACGGACCTTTGTTGGCATGGGACTTAGTTTCAGGCAAATGTGCGTAGCATTGCAGCCACAATCAGATGCAGTAAAAATGATGTGTATCTTATGAGCACATACTAAAAAAGTTATTTTGTAAGTATAATGAATACACACACCACACACACACAACCCCCCCATTTACGTGCGTTCAATATGTCCACTACCATGCATACACGCATTGCTCCAAAACCAGAAGTGACCCAAAAATGTCACAGAAAGGGGCAGAATGGGGCAAGGCAGGTGTGAAATGGGGCATTTGCAGGCTTAAAGGTCCTGGGCCCTAAGAAAGCCAGACTATCCTCCACCAGGGCCAGGGCTTTTTCAGTGACGGCTCTGACCTGGTGGAATGCTCTGTCCCATGAGACTAGGGCCCTGCAGGACTTGACCTCCTTCCACAGGGCCTGTAAGACAAAGCTATTCCACCTGGCCTTCAACTTGAATTAGCCTGATCCTCTATTCCCTTTTCCCTTTCCTCTTCCATGAAGAAACCCTTTCTGGGACCCCAAATTTAAATTCTTCCCTGGTCTCCTTGCTGGCCCTACTAGGACCAACTTGGCCAGTTAGCCCTGGTGACATTTGATGTCTACTGACTGGTTCTCCCCCCGCCCCCCATACCCCTGAATTTTTGAATTTTATTGATATTGATGCTGCATTTTATGTTGTATTTTATGCTGTTTTTAAGTCGCATTTTAATCAATGTTTTATATTTCCTGTTAGCCGCCCTGTGCCTGATTTTTCAACCATGAAGGGTGGGGTATAAATTATTATTATTATTATTATTATCCAATGATGTTTCAAATATATGTGATTTCCCTCAACAAATCTTAAATAAAGGTATTATAAATATAAATTCTGGTGGTATTTGACACCATCAGGACTTAATTGTATTTATACTACAGCAAGTAACATATGATGGAGATGCAAAACCATCCAATGGCTGCATGTAGTTTTTGGACCTGCCCTAAATTGAGGACCTTCTGGATGATATAGAAAGAGAGTCTGAAATAACAGGATACATATTACCAACATACCCATTCATCCTCTTATTTGGATATACTAAATATTGGGTCTTAACAGAGGACAGGGAAATGGTCCTACATTTACTGATGCCTACAAGAGGACCTGGTAGCTAAAGTAGTGGGTATATTATGTGTGGTAAAACTGATAAATATGGTCAGAGTTATAATAATAATAATAACAGAGTAATAAAATAATAATAATAATAATAATAATAATAATATTTTTTTATTTATATCCCGCCCTCCCAAGCCGAAGCCGGGCTCAGAGCGGCTAACAACATTAAAATTCTAAAATTCTAACATTCTAAAATCATTTCATTATAAAATCAATTCAAATCAGATTAATGGCAACCATTGGGCTAGAGTTCTGTGAGGATTGCCAAAGGAGGGGGTCAGGCTGTGCCCTGGCCAAAGGCCTGGTGGAACAGCTCTGTCTTACAGGCCCTGCAGAAAGATGTCAAGCCCTGCAGGGCCCTAGTCTCTTGTGACAGAGCGCTCCACCAGATCAGAGCCACAGCTGAAAAAGCCCTGGCTCTGGTTGAGGCCAGCCTAACCTCTCTGTGGCCCAGGACCTCCAAGATGTTTTTGTTTGAAGACCATAAAGTCCTCTGTGGGGCATACCAGGAGAGGTGGTCCCCTTATAGGGAAAGATAACCTTTTCTGTGAAAAATAGAATGTTTACATTATGTAGCTGTGCAGCAAGGTGCAAGAAAATGCAAGCCCATATACAGCCATACCTTGGAAGTCAAACAGAATCCATTCCAGAAGTGCGGAATTCTGATTGGCTGCAGGAAGCTCCTGCAGCCAATCAGAAGCTGCAGAAGCTTCATCGAACGTTCGGCTTCCGAAATAACGTTTGGAAACCGGAACACTCACTTCCAGTTTTCGATTGTTTGGGAGCTGGAACGTTTGACGCCCAAGGCATTTGGGAGCTGAAGTACAACTGTACATTGTTAGGAATATTGTGAACTATCTAATAAACTAATCTGTATATTTTGATTGTTTATGGATAGGATATATACAAACTATCAATTCCTTTTATCTCTTTTTTCATTTCAATGCATTCTTACTCTTTTTATGTTGTTATTCTATTTATCATCATTTTTATTTACTATTTCTTCTTTTTAAAAAGTCACACATTAATTTTAGTGCTTTCAAAGTTCTTTGCACTCTGGCTTTCAGCTGCTAGCTTTAAACCAGTTTCATTTTGATGCTGTTTTACCGTTGAAGATTTTGCACAGTATCAGACTAAACCATACACAGAATAGACCCACTGAAATCAATGAACCTACTAACTAAAGTCCACTGATTTCAGTGGGTCAACTTGGAGCATGACTTAGCAGCACATCACCCCATATGTCTTCGTTCTTTTGTTTATGCTCCATGTGTTTAAATTATATTTGTGAATCTCAAAAATATTTTGTTGTTGTTAACAGATCATAGAGAAATGTTGTGCATAAATAAGCTCAGTCATTCTCTGGTCCTGAAGAAACTGGCGAGGATACTAAAACTCATTTCACCTTCTCCTTCCTCTTCAGCTTGGGCTGTGGAAAAGAGAATGGAGCATCATCCTAAGTTGCACATTCCTATGTGGCTTAACCTGTTCCTTCTTTATCCCACACCTTCACTCTTTATCCCAATGCCCAAATCCCCTTTGCTCACAGTCAACTATGGCATAGGAAATAATATCAGCATTCCTGAAACCAAGTCATGTTTACCTCTTGATTTATTTTTATATTTGTCATTTGCTAGGTGACATAATTAGAATGTGCAAATATTGCTAAGCCAATCTAATTTGCATTTCTGTTGCCTCACTTCACGATATCCATGGAGCTTTTCAGATCTCTTGTGCATGTCATAACAACCAATCTTTTTATTTCCTATGTCTTCCCGTTAGCCTCCTGAGATAGATAATAACTTTTAGTTTGTCAGTGTGACAAAGCAAATCCTCTAATCAAATACTCCCAAGGGCAATTGGAATGCATAATAACAGGGACTTTGATGGCCTTATCAGATGTGCATCAAAAGGTTCACTTTAGGAAAGGGAACAAATGATTTCTGTGAAATGAAAATCTTTAGGAATCTGGATAATTAGATTAAAACAAAGAAAAGAAAAAGAGGCAGAATGCTATTGTTTTTGCAATTTGACATAATAGTACTTTTTAGCACATATTAAAATATCAATAATTAACCTTCTATTTTGATTTTAATCCTGATTTCAGTAGCCTTAATTGACATTAATACATGAGCTTGAGATATAAACTTTGTGTTTTATCTTGTATTTTATTCTGTGAACTGCCCTGAGATCTCCTGATGAAGGGCGGTATATAAATTTTAAAAATAAACAAATAAAAATAAACTCATTTGCTTTTCCCTTAGGAGATTATTTTGCAAGACATCACAGTGAAGAACTCCTCACAGTTCAGGATGTAAGAAATGTAGCTTGCTAGCTTTCAGTGAAAACTCAGGAAGTTATTGCAAACAATCAGGTCTGATGGACTTCATTTGTTGGTTACATTTTAGAGAAATGTTATTTTGTAGCATGGTGGATCCTAGGGCACTGATTGCGCTTTGAAAAAAGAACAGAAAACCTAATGGCAGAGGCATCTGTGGGCAGAAGAATTTCCGTAGGGTTCCATAAAGCCTCCTCCCACATCTTCTCAGTTTGTGCTCATGAGAAGTGTTGGGCATTTCCTAGAACAGAAGGATGACACACTCTCTTTCCTGCTTTCAGGCCCTTCCTGGAATTACTTTGATCTCCATTGAACCCCTAAGGTTCCATTAGACTCCTGGTTATTTTGTGTGGGATCTTATGATATTTACTTTCCAATATTACCACAAACTCATTGACTCCCCATAATTCTTATTAAACTCTCTTCTTCTTAATATCAAAGTAAGCAAGATAAGCTACTGAAAATTGTTTTCTGTGGCTTATAAACATGGCTGATGCTGATTAAAATGAGCTTCATTAGCACCAACCTCACTTTGCATATTAAACCAACAAGACTTGGACGACTCAACCACATCCTCTTTAAAAAGCTATCAAGTGGACTGGATTTTTCTACTTTTATCAGACAGGAAATCCCTATATTCCCAAAGCCAATTCAATATGGGATTTTCACTCACCCTCTTGCCACTCTCACACCAAGCATTTAAAGCTCTGAAAGGTGCAGTTTCTAGGATTATTTTGGAGAAGCAATGAGCTTTAAATGTATGTAGGGTGTGCATGCAGCCACAGGGGGAAAAACAACAGTTATGAATCTCTGCTTTAAAACCAATCTAATTTGTAAACTACTATACTAAAATGGTCCCCCCATTCCACTTCACTCACTTTCACTTTTAAATAATTGGTTTGTTTGTTTTTTAAAAAAATGCACTAAAATCTATAAACTAGGGTTCTCTCTGTCTCTCTCTCTCTTTGACTGGGATAAGTGATTAAGCATAATCTTAATCTGAAAATAGAGATAACCGTCTGGACCGTGTACATTTTTGAAGCTCCTATATAGCATCCTGTCTGATAGTAAATATCCACAGTAATTAAAAAACAAAATTGAAGCTAGTATTGACAGTGAATGGCTTTGCTTGCTAAGTTCAGAGAGGAAGAGGAAAGCTACTGTTTAGCATATGGTGCTGTCCAAAATAGAAACATGAGATGTTCTGTCCTGTCATAGCACCTTATGCTTCCATTCAGCCTTACTTAGGCATTCACAGACGAAATTACTTCTGTAGCTTCAGCACTCATATTTAATGCCACACAGCCTGTTAACAAAATGAGGCCTTGGTATTAAAGTGTCACCATGGTGGTAGCTGTAATGAATACATTCATTCAGGTGCATTTAAAAAGATACTTTCTAAGGGGAAAACAGATCACTCCAAAGATTAAACATGGCTGAGCAAAGCATACATAACCAATACTGCTGAAATAGATGTTTAAAATGTTGAAAAAAATGAATAGCACCACTTTGGAAAATAAGATGTTTCCAGTATGACGCTAAAGGCTGTAATGTAAAGTAAAGCCACAACAAACCGCTGAATGGAGTAAAATGTTCAGTGGGAAAGGGGGGCGGGAATTATTCATTTCCAAGGAAAGCAAGTGCCATTTTTCAGATGAAAGGAAGAAGCATCCACGAAGAATTGCGAGGTTGGAGTAATGGGAGGAAGTACAAGGAAATCACAATACGTTCAGAAATGCAACATGAATGCCATTTAAATCACTTTTAAACAATCCTGCAAGAATGCTTTGGCATGTGCTAGGAACATAGGAAGCTGCCTCGTGCTGCAATGCAGTATTGATACACGTAGCTCAGTATTGCCCACTCTGACTGGCAGCACCCCTTCAGGTTTCCAGACAACAGTCTCTCCCCGTTCTACCTGGAGATGCCAAGGATTGAACCTTCTGCAGTCAAAGCAGATGCTCTAGCACTCAGCCTTGTCCTTCCTCATCAACTTAAAGTGGTTGGTTTGGGGAGAGTCGTCCACAACCTCCTTCCCAGTGTCAACCAGTCAAGACATTTTACTGCAGAAAGGGAAGCCTCAATGGCAGCCTTCTTCCTGCTGGTGCCCAAAGTGTCAGAAGCCTTGTGCAGCATCCAGGCTTCAGGTCCTGTCTCCCCAGGGTTGTTTTTTCAGCCGGAAATCACTGGAACTCAGTTCTGGCACCTCTCAGGTGGAGAGAGAGCCAGTGTGGTGTAGTGGTTAAGAGCGGTGGACTCGTAATCTGGTGAACCGGGTTCGATTCCCTGCTCCTCCACATGCAGCTGCTGGGTGACCTTGGGCTAGTCACACTTCTCTGAAGTCTCTCAGCCCCACTCACCTCACAGAGTGTTTGTTGTGGGAGAGGAAGGGAAAGGAGAATGTTAGCCGCTTTGAGACACCTTCGGGTAGTGATAAAGCGGGATATCAAATCCAACCTCCTCCTCCTCCATCACCAATGCCATTAGAAGAGAACAAAGGAAGCGGTTATGGTGAGCTCTGGCACCTCTTTTTCTCGAAAAGAAGCACTGTGCCTGCCCCAAGATGCCACCTGAAGCAGACCCAGCCAGGAACACCTCCCCATACACATTTCTCACATCAAAACCTCAGGACAGGTGTGGGGGAATCCTTTTGGCTGCTATTGAACTACAGCTCCCATCATCTCTGGCCACTGGCCATATTGAATGGAGCTGATGGAAGTCGTAGTTGTTCCCCACAACAACTGTCTCAGGGCAACAGGGAAGTGACAAATGAACAACACTCGTTCACAGGTGCTGTTCACTTACATTTCAGTTGCATTGCCAGCTCTCATCTTACTGTGGGAGAGCTGCTGCCTTTGCAGATACTGACAGCTTATTCATCAGCGTTGGATACTGCAAAACTCCTTTTTGCTTCAAACACTTATGTCATCAAATTCCAGGTTTTCTTAGTGCGTAATTTCAACTCCTACGACGGCTTAGTTGTCGCAAAGAGGGGGGAGGATGAGAAGAAGATTAATTAAGATAAGAGAGATCCCCTTCTCTCTACATTTCCACACACTTTTCACACTCCTGTGAAAATGTAACTGAATAATGGAAATTTAGATTATGCTTTCCTAATTTTAAAATGAAGTGCATTTCTTGCTTATCCTGTTACACTGTTTTGTATAAAAGAAGTTATGGGAAGCTAGACAGCTCTCTCTCTTTCATGCCACATTCCTCCCAATATTTTTAATGCCTGTAAAAATATGCATTAAATTCAACAAACAAAATCATATTCAGAGTTCAAAACTGAAAATGTAAATTCGACTCACATTAAGTTTATTTTCCACCTGTTCATTTTTATTCATCGATCTTGTATTCTCTTTCTGTCTTCATGTACATTCAGAAGGGTCACAGCTTAGTGGTAGGGCATCTGCCTTGCTTGTAGAAGGTCTTAGGTTCTATCTGTGATAGGACTGGGAGAGACCCCCGTCTGAAACCCTGGAAAATCTCTGACAGTCGGTGTAGACAGAACTAGAAAGCCCAATGATTTGGCTCACAATATGACAATTTCCTGTGCTCCTGTTCTATTGGTCTGTGCACAATTACCATGCCCTTCTTTTCTGAGGTGCAGAGAAGCCCAAACAGCACTGTCCATGCATAAGCAGGTTTGGGGAAAGTACATACATCTTCATAGGGTCCTAGGGTCTGAAAGGTCTTTAGCCTCCCCAATACTTGAGGAGGCCTGCCCCCCCCCAACTGATGGACATTGCCATTCAAATGGTGTGCATGCACTGTGTCATGTGATCGATTATGCCTGACAGGGCTTACCTGCCCCCCTCCCCATATTTTATCATACCCTCACACCAATAAAGGAAACCCTGCAAGCCAGGTGGAAACAAGCCCAAGACTTCTGCATTAAGGGGTGGCATATCTGACAATGGAGCTGTTGGCCCTACTGGAAAGCATGGGTTTTAATCATAGCAGGAATTAGCACCCATGATAGGTGATTATGCACTGAAACTGTTCCAGGACCAGCTGTGTTGATTCAAATTATATGTAACCTCTGTAATTGCAGCTTTTCAAAAACATTCAGAATTGGGGGAAACGTGTGTGAGGGGTGGGGTGATGGTGAGTAGAAGATATAGTGGTGGGGGAGAGAGGGCAAATACTATAATTCATTAGGACAAAACCTGCCAAAAAAATCCTGAAATGTGTTGGCTACTTTCCTTAGCAGCTCCTGGCTTAGACACACACTCCTTCCCTTCCTTCCCTGTCTCTCCTTTAACCCCTCTCCCCCAAAACCCCCTCTAAACCCTAATCAATGTCACATCTTTTCAGCCTTTCTAACTGGCCAATTACAAAGACTACTTTCAAATGAAGAAAGAAGCCAGTAATCTGCCAAGAGGTTTGGAAAGAGAATTTTTTCTGAAAGATTAACAGTCCTTGGTAGTTCCTGGAAGTCCTGTTCTTAATCAATTTTTTAATGAACCATATTCTCTTTCTAATTGGACTATGGCAAAACAGATACCAACATTACAACTTTTTCCAAGGAGTTTATGAAATTATCTGTACATATATAGCCATTACACTGTAAACATTTCATATTACAGTGGTACCTCAGGTTACAGACACTTCAGGTTACAGACGCTTCAGGTTACAGATTACAGACTCCGCTAACCCAGAAATAGTACCTTGAGTTAAGAACTTTGCTTCAGGATGAGAACAGAAATCATGTGGTGGCAGTGGGAGGCCCCATTAGCTAAAGTGGTGTCTCAGGTTAAGAACAGTTTCAGCTTAAGAATGGACCTCCGGAACGAATTAAGTTCTTAACACGAGGTACTACTGTAATACTGTAAGTTTGTGGGGCAATCTTTTTTTTAAAAATACACAAAAAGGTCAAATAATATGTTCCCTTGTCTTTAGTCCTGTCTCTCTGCTATTTGATTTACAAATGTGTGCATGTGTTGCTTATCACATCTGTGGCTGCTTAAATGGCAGGACAAAGTACAGACACTTGTTAAGGGCAAATTAAAATCCGTAATAGACAAGCTGGTTCTGGACACCAATAATGTTGAACAATGTGAGATGTAAAGATGTGCAGTTTGGCTTTAATTCTATGCATGCTCTCCTTGGACCAAGGCTGCATATACCCCATGTATTCAATATACACTTAAAACACACGACTTTCCCTAAAGAACTTTGGTTAGCCCTCAAGCACCCTTAGCAATTCTGAGCACCCTTAAACTTCAGTTACTAGGCTTTTTAAAAGTGGGAGATGTGTGCTTTAAATGTGTGGTGTGTATGCAGACTAAGTTCTATTGTGGAAATGAATGCTCAGCAGGTACATCTAAGATTAGGAGGCACATAACTGAAAGAGAAACTGAATGCTCAAGAGTTAAGTGGTGAGGCAGGATGGACTGTTGAGGCTACATTCTGGAACAGTATATTGTGTGACAACTACAAGACAGAGTCCCACAGCCCCTTAAGAATTAGGCTGTCTACTTGGAGATGCCTGAAATGGCCAGAAGTGACAGTGAATATCGCTATATAGATTAATGAAGCATAACAGAAGAAATAAGAGCTTCAGAGGATTAAAATTGAAAGATTAAAAAAATGCAAAGAACATGCCCTGGCTAGTGAAGTCTGAGAAGCCATTTAGCATGAAACCTCTATACCCAGAAAGCCCTCTAATGTAAGGGTTAGCATAAAAGTCGTTTAGATAATAATATCTGACAATCTTACATATGTCCGCCCCCCTCAGCTTGTCTGGTTAGATGAGTACATTTAGAGTCATTTCTGTGTTTTATAATTGAAGGAACAACTACCTGACCTAAGTAAATCACCCAGTCTACTTAATCTCATAATTCCTTTGGGAAGTTTTTCATATTGGGATGGCAAAATGACTGTTCAGTGTTCATCAACATGCAAGGCACAACGCCACTTGCAAATCATGCTACCCCTGAGCAATAGACAGAAGGAAACTGAGGCTGCAATCCTATAACACTAACTTGAATTCAGTGGCATTTACCTCTGAGTAGACATGCACAGAACTGTGCAATGAGAGATGCAGGTGTAGAAACATCTGACATGTCTATCTAAAATTGTGGGTGTAGCAGGGAACAGGGAAAGCCATAGCCACCAGACACATTTCCAGTTCCTGCTCTACACAGTTTTCCAGGACAAGATTAGAGGTTTGCTGATTTCCACCTTTTTCCCCTGTGGCAAAATCTGCTGCACTTTGTCAGCATGTTATGTATTTTTTTAATCATTCAAAGCTCATGGAGCACAGCATTTCCATGAGCTCTGTTCCCTGATGATCACTCTAATAATGGAAATCACCCATATCAAACATGAGTCATGTTTATTACTGATTAAATGGAAGAAGGTCGGCGTCAACTGGTAATTCGCCTGGTCTAAAACTCCACACGGCATAAAATAAGGTGTGATGTCATCACCGGCTGTACATTGCTAAGTGGTCTGTGCAGATATCTAGATGAGGAAACACCTGTATAAATGAGTGTCATTCATGGGATCCCTTCCTAGACCAATCCAACAACTTTCTTTATACATGCACAGCACTAGCCAGATCATCAGTGATAGGCAGAATAATATTTGCATTTGGGAATGGGAGTCTGGATTCCATCTCCCTCTTCCTGTCCGTTCCTTGAATAGATTATTCATACTTTTGCCAAGGAACTGATTCAGTCTAAGTCAATAGGGGCCAGAAAGTATATAATAAAGTATAATAAATACATTTATAGTTAATCTCTTCATCTGCATTGATAATTTGAGATGTGTTATATGTGCTATCAGAACACTTAAAAAAATATAAAACTATGATAATTTTTCTATGTGTTAGCTTTTATCACTCATAGATATAATACAAGTGTTCCAGAAAGTAATTGCTTTCTGGGTACCATATTCAGATATACAGTAGTATCCCCTCATCCGTGATCTAGACCAGGGTTTCCCAAACTTGGGTCTCTAGCTGTTTTTGGACTACAACTCCCATCATACCCAACCACTCGTCCTGCTAGCTAGGGATGGTGGGAGTTGTAGGCCAAAAACAGCTAGAGAACCAAGCTTAATCTAGACAAACCTCCATCCACCTGATGCCATCCAGATGTAATGGACTACAGTTTCCATCAACCCAAGCCAGAATGATCTGGGTTGATGGGAGTTGTAGTCCTTAATATATGGAGGGCATCAGGTTGATGAAGGTTGATCTATATATATTTTTTCTCCATTTTCAATTATTAAAACCTTGCAACCACAAAAATACCTAAGAGAAAAAGCACTTAAACATTGATAGAGTTTGAACTGCCAAACTATACTGTTGTATTCATTACCTTGCTTGAGAGATTTATGAAAGTTTATCGTCACTTTGAACTAAAAACAACAGCACATATTTTAAAAGGGGGAAAAAATCTTAGCATCATTCATTATTTACTTTTATTGCACCAATGAAAACATAATTTCATAATTCATAAACTTTGAGATTGCAGCATGCGGCATTTTACAAAGTTATTTAGGTTTCAGGGAAACTAAATCATCTCTTTTGATGTTGCCTGTAAATGAATCCACCCACAATTACTCTTATATCACTACCTTTTTCTGTGCATTTTGTTAAATTTAGAAATGTCAGCAAAGCTTGCCAGGCCTGAGTTCAGAATTAAACTTTGGGGACTTGTAATGTTCATCTCACTGAAGAGTCAAGTGTTAGAAACTCCTAAATTCTTATGCAGTTAAGATTAAAATCCATGCTGGAAAAGAATCTCCAGTTCACCTGCTTTCCATCCAGCTACTTCTAATCTGCATCAGTCAGCAGATGCCCTGCCAGATCTCTCCCATCTGCACAAAACTATGAAAGGCAGCCAGGGGGTGTCCTTTGATCCTTGCTAGCCTGGAAGCTGGTTTGTTTGGCCTGGGGAAACCCCAGCAAGGCTACTCCTCGCTACTTGAAACTGTTAAAAGCAGCAGGCTTGCAAGTCTATTTGGCTTGATGAGTGCACCCCCCAAAAAAAACACTTCCACACCCACCCATCCAGGAGGATAGGCTTCCAGCTATAGTCCCCCCCCAATATAGCTTCATTAAATCTCTTATTAAATATAATGATGTCACTCTGCAAGTTTAAATAAGGCTGATATCCTATACCCACTTACCTAGGGGTAAGCTCTATTGAAGTAAATGAAACTGACTTCTAAGTGGTCAAGTACAAGATTTGACTGTAAGAGGATGTAGAAGGGCAGCATGTCCAAGAATTATTGAGGAATGAGGAGCTCAGTGGAAGACACTGGGGCAAGAGAGACATCTAAGAGGGTGGAATTCCAGCCATCAGTGGTTTTGAGAATGCTGCCTGTTTACCTCAGATGTTTCATGCTGTCACACAAAGTTGTCATTTGATGGCCAGGGATCTTCAGTGGCTGTCCCTGGCTGTCAAACTGAGAGGAGGCAAGGTCAAATTCAGACTGCTTCAGAAATTAGACGAGCCATTTGACCTTGCCAAACTTCAAGAAGTAAAAAATCTGGACACAAAAGTTGTTGATCTTTTTCAGGGGAATTTTGTGTAGGCCCATCAAAATGTCTGTCCTACAATTGCAATAGTCTGTGGCCAAATTCTTACAACTACCATTGATGTTTGTTTATGTTTTTACCATTGATGTTTTGTAATGTGTTTCTAATGTTGTACACTGCCCTGATATTATAATAATAATAATAATAATAATAATAATAATAATAATGTATTGTCTGCACCTATCAAATTCTCAAACTAAATGTTTTATCTTAATGCAGCTTCAGATAATTAAAACTGATGTATTCCACATGAGAGAAATCCACTGAAAAGTTGATCACCATGATCATATAAAGATGTCATGATCCCAAAGGAATGCATCTCACCAAGTACAGGATTCTTGGTTCCCAAGGCAAGGGAAGAGTCACACACAGAGACAGTACTCTTGCTGCTGTGGCCAAGGAAGGCCTCAGAACAACTGGCTGAATGTTACGGCAAGTCTAGGTAGTTATTGACTGGAGGCCCCACCCCTTGAGTGTTACCTTCCAGCCAGTTAAAGGGTTTTGCGCCTATTTCTACATTTGTTGGCTCTTTGGGGATAATGACGTTTCCAGCTGTTGGGATGTGTCCTTGGGTTTTCTTGATCCCGTGAGGGGAGAAGAAACCTTTCAAGTGGCTGGGATGAATGAGCCCACTTTCATTCTTATTTGTCAACTGCAATGCATTGTAGCACTGGAGTTCTGCCAGTTGGTAGTGGTTGTTTTAACCACAAAGTAATTCAATTAATTTTAACTGAGTAAACCAGATGGTATTGAAATTAAGTGGGATCATAAAAGGCAGTGTTGAGCAAATATTATGTAGAACAGAGGTCTTCATTTCTCTTTGAAATGCCTGAAGATTTAATTGCTGTGGCTCGTTTTTTAAATGGGGTGTTTAGATAAAAATGAGTGGAAGAGGCTGTTTTGCTCTAAGTTTCCTGTAATATAAATAAGTGAAGAAAAGGGGAACAGGAGAATATCACCTGGTAGTGTTCATTTGTCCTTCACCTGTAGGCAACAAATTGCAGGGTGGGACAGCCAAGATGATAAAGGACAGAGTATGGGCATGTAGATCCAAAAGAAG